TGGGGTCCCTTTGGCAAATGATTCAACTAGACATAACGCCTTCCTGTCATCAAATGTTTCAATTGTTGTTGAAAGATGTCCAATTGGATCATTGTCTCCTCCATTTTTTGGTTACTCCATTTAGATTTCATTCATGTATGTGCATATTTTAAGGTTCTATTATAGTAGATTTGCATATGATCACTCCAGTGACCCTTAGTGTTATTTAGCCCTCCTTGTATTCCCACCATTAGACCCTTCTTCCCTGTCCCTCCCCATTTAATCTTCTTAATTCAGTCTCCCCCTGCCCCTGTTGTTCTCCATAAGTATGTGTTCTGCTTCCTCTTTCTTGGGAGATGCTCCACTCCACACTGCCAGTTCCTTACTCTATACCAAACTGAATGAAAAAAGAAACTAAAAGGAAAGGAACATGACTTTTCCTAGGTGTGGTAAAGGCATTTTATTATACATATGTGGGAGAGCATAGCCAGAGTCAGAGACAGGAACATCTGGGAGAGTACAGGGTGTACATGACCAGTCTGAGCCATGGGAGGAGAGAGAGATAGGGGAGAGAGAGGGGAAACAAGAAGGAGACACAAAGGAGGATAGACAAAAAGGCCAGGTAACCAAAATGGATTATATAGAGGGGCAACTGGGGGAAAGGTAGGGTATGGAGTATGCCAGCCATCAGGGCCCTGAACCTGGTGGCCAGAATCAATTTTGATATGTTAAATAGGTGTCTCAGCCATTTGTCAAAGGAACATTTCCAAACAGATGGCTGTCAGAAGAAATAGAAGTCACAGGTGCTTCATTAATAAAAATCAGTTGTAGCTGGAGTTTTCTGTCCCACCAGGTCTCATTGCCCTTCAGTCCCAAAGAAACACACAGACACTATATTAATTATAAAACTGCTGGACAAATGGCTAGGGCTTCTCACTGGCTAACTCTGTCTTAATTATTAACCCTTGTCTATTAATCTATGAATTGTCACAAGACTGTGGCTTATCAGTAATCCGGAATGTTACTTCCTCTGCAACATGGTTTCTCCTTACCGCACCTCTCTGCCTGTCTCCCCAGCATTCTTCTCATTTCTTATCCCAACCTATCTTCCTGCCTCTACTGGCTATTGGCCAAATGGAGTTTTATTCTTTAACCAATAAGAGAAACATATATACAGAAGGATACCCCCCATCAATAGGTGACATTTAATTACTCTTCAGAAATTCTTATTATTTGGATAAATGGATGTGAGACCATGATCAGGACTTGAGGTGGAAGAACAGTAGTAAGAAAACAATACATTATCAGAGACAACATGCTGTCATTTAAGCTAATTTCATCTGATGCATATATTGTACAAACAACCACAGGTACTACAAGTTTATGAGTGCAGTAGTCCCATGCTCTGAAGACGGCATTTCACAGCATTCTTTTCCACCCCACTTATATTACATGCCATCTCCACTCCAGTGATTTTTCCTGAATATATCTATCTATCTATATCTATCTATATCTATATCTATATCTATATCTATATCTATATCTATATCTATATCTATATCTATATCTACATCTACATCTACATCTACATCTACATCTATCTATCTATCTATCTATCTATCTATCTATCTATCTATATGTGTGTGTGTGTGTGAGTGTGAGTGTGTGTGTGTGTGTGTGTGTGTGTGTGTGTGTGTGTTGTGGGTGGGTGTTGATAAAGATAACCTACATAGGGCTGAGCATTCACTGTCCTTTCTGCCCTTTAGTTGCAGCACTTTGAAAAATTATGAGTCTCTGCATGGACTACTGTCTATAGCAAAAAGAAGCTTCTATGCCTAAGGTTGAAATCAGCACAGATTTATGGGTACAAATGTAAATAGTTAGAAGGCAATTTGACAACATGACTATTTAGCAAAATAACATCAGGATTTACCCTAGAGCCAAACACTTGCCCAATCTTTTATTAAAACCAGGATTACATTGCTGGGCCAGGTATCTGTCCTGTGGAGCAGGCCTGGAATTTAATCAGAAAGTGGGTAGTTACCCTTTAAGAGTCATTCCTCTATCTTACCAGTGGGCACATATTGCCACACAAGTCAATATTTTAACATCCATGGTCTGTCACTGGATGAGACCATTGATGCCTTTTCTCTCACAGAAGCCTCCACAGTACCTTCTGGCACTACAAAATTCAGCAAGCATGGAGAAAGTTTCTTGATTAATTTTGATACAGAAATAATATGCCTTCAAAGTGAAAATTCACTCTAAAGACTTAGAGATTTATGAAGAAAAAGCTCCTTAATAACTCTCATTTGGCTATTACTAATGTCCAAGGAAGTGTTGGCCTCAAAAAGATTTTCCTAACTTATATACACCTTAGGCTTATGCATTTTATATACACTGTCATCATTAAATTTCTTTTTAGTCCCAGCCCAAGTTATACTTTGAATAATTTAAATAGATAGGAGATTGCAAGTCTGGCCACTTGGGCAGATGGGAAATTTTTACAGCAAAGATATTGTCACAATTATTTTTTAAGTATACCAGTGTTGTTCTTTTCAAATACTTATTACCCAGGCTTATCTTTCTCACCTGAAGAATTATGTTATTCCTGATAAAAATACAGAAAATTTAACAGCACATCAGGAGCTAGTTGACCAGGTATTGTGACCCTGTACTGACCCTTGCACTGCCTGCTAGAGACACGTAGTTTTGGTATAGCCCCAATGGCTGGGAAAGGCAAGTGAAAAAACGTTTGCATCCTAATATTATAAATTTTGCTTATCTCTAATAGGTCTTAATAGCATACTACATATCTTTGGGGTATTTTGGAGGCAATAGTACATTAGCTAAATTCTATTTGGTCTGATTTAATGTGTCCTATACAAATCTATTAGTAAATCATTTGTAACATCAATTCTATTACTTTGAGTTTCATCTACATTAGCTTGACATTGATTTGTGTATGTGCTACAGCCAGAGTTTAATGTGTCTTAAACAGTACTGTCATGCTAGGTATGGTGAATGATCAAGGACAAGAACAATAGTATGTGCTGTTTAGGTGACATCTGGGGCCTCAATGACCAATACCTCAGACAGGAGTATTCCATGACTTGAACAATATGAGGAGACCTCAAGTAGGGTGGGGAATAAGTTTGGGTGATACAGGTAGAGTTGGGAGGGGGAGTGAGGATAAATATGATACATTGTATACATGTACTAAATTCTCAAAGAATGAAAACAATTGTAATAACTAAAAAATGCAATAAAATGCACAGGCACTAAAGAAAAGAGGGCCACTGATGATTGAATCTTCTAAATAAAAGTTGAAATATAGAAAAACAAAGACAGATTTATGTCTAAGAAAAAAAAATCCCGTGACTACCTGATTAAAGCAAAATCTATTTAGAAGTGCACAATGGACTGGCCAAACAAAAACTCCCTCTAAGTTGGAGTTTTAGAGAGCAGTCCCTCACTGGATTTTGAGGTCCCTTTTATGGGGAAGGGCTAGAGTTGATACAAAACAGCTGTTGGGATAAAGGTTGTTAGCACCTGGATAGAAGATTGGGCAAGTAGGGGATCAACACTGCCTTTCAAGTAGGTAAGTGCAAGAATACATCATGTGGAAGAGTCCCAAAGGTATCTGGGAAGACACATTTTTAATCATATATCACAGGTTCAGTCTTGTACTTTGGATAACATTTACCCTTTTCTCTGGTTACTTGGAAAAAGAAGTACCTCCTTAGGATTGAAATTGTCATGTGAAATGGAGAGGCATCATGGCTTTGTTGAACACCATTAAAGCAAAGCAACATTCTGTTTTTTATTTTTGTTTTGCAAATTATATTTTATTTTATTGACATGTTTCATTTATTTTACATACCAACCATTGACTCCCCTTCCTCCTTTCCTTCTGTTCCCTCCCCCAAACAATGACTTCCATCTACTCAACTCTTGATCACTCCTCCATCTCCACTAAGAAAAGGGCAGCCCTTCTGTGGGCTTGAACAAAGCCCCCACTCTTGATCACTTTTCCATCTCCACTAAGAAAAGGGCAGCCCTTCTGTGGGCTTGAACAAAGCCTGGCACATTAATTTGACGTAGCACCAAGCTCCTCCCCTGCAAAAAGGCTGGGCAAGGTAAACCAGCATAGGGAACAGGTTCCCAAAAGCCACTTAGGCACCAGGGACAAGTCCTGTATTCACTGCTAGGAGCCTTACAAACAGACCAAGCTGCAAAACTGTAACACACATGCAGAAGGCCTAGGTTGGTTCCATGCAGGCTCCCTAACTGTTGATCCAGTGTCCCTGTGCTCCCAGGATATCAGGTCACCAGTCTCTGTGGTTCTTCCTTCATGGCTTTGATGACCTGTCTCATACAACCCCTCTTCCCTTTTTTCAGGAGGACTTCAGGAACGTGGACCAGCATGTAACGTGGATCTTTTCATCTCCTTCCATTATTTACTGGATAAAGGTATCTGATGACAATTAGTGTAATCACCAATCTGATTACAGTAGATGGACATTTGATGCACACTCTCCACTAATTCAAGGAGTCTTAATTGTGGTCATCCTTGTGCATTCCTAGGAGTTTTCCTGGCACCACGTTTTTCCCTAACCCTGAAACGAACCCCTGCCTATCAAGACATTTCTTTTCTTACTTCCCCATCCTGCTCCAATGTGCCTCCCTTACCCAGCCCAACCCACCATGTCACTTTCCCCCACCATCTTTTTCTGTTTAATCAGATATCTGTTCTATTTCCCCTCCCCAGGGAAACTAATGCATTCCTTTGGTCCCTCTCCATTATTTAGCCTGTCTAGGATGATGGATTGTAAGTTGGTTGTCCTGTACCTTTCTCTAAATATCCACGTAGGAGTGAGTACATATCATGTTTGTCTTTCTGTGTCTGGGTTACTTAACTCAGAAAGATTTGTTTTTCTAGTTCCACTCATTTGCCTTCAAATTTTATGAGGTCATTGTTTTTTTACAGCTGAGTAATACGCCATTGTGTAACTCTACCATATTTTCTTTATCCATTCGTAGTTTGAGGGGCATCTAGGATGTTTACAGGTTTTGGCTATTACAAATAATGCTGCTATGGACATAGCTGACCAGATGTCCTTGTGGTATGATTGAGCTTCCTTTGTCTATATGCCAGAGATTGGTATAGCTAGGTTTTGAGGTAGATGGATTCCATTTTTCTGAGAAATATCTGTATTGATTTATGAAATAGCTGTTCAAGTTTGTATGCCCAGCAGCAGTGCAGGGGTGTTCCCTTTACTCTACATGCTCTCCAGCATGAGCTATCACCAATAATTTTGATCTTAGGCATTCTATAATGTGTAAGATGATATCTGAGAGTCATTTTTATTTGCATTTCTCTGATGACTAAGGAATTTGAACAATTATTTAAGTGTATTTCATCCATTGAGGATTATTCTGCTGAGAATTCTGTTTCGATCTGTACCCCATTTTTAAATTGGATTATTTGGTATTTTGATGTCTAGTTTCTTGAGTTCTTTATATATTTTGGAGATCAGCCCTCTGTCAGATGTGGGGTTAGTAAAGATCTTTCTCCATTCTGTACAATTCCCTTTCATCTTATCAGCAGTGTCCTTTGCCTTTAAAGAAGCTTTTCAGTTTCAGGAAGAGCCATTTATTAATTGTCAATTTCAGTATCTGTACTATTGGTGTTGTATTTAGGAAGTAGTCTCCCGTGAGATGGACTTTTTTCTTTTTGTTCTTTATTGTGGGGGTCACAAGGGTGGAGGGGAGACATGGAAGGACTGAGAAATGAGTGTGTGCAGGCTTTGTGATATACAATTCCCAAATAATCAATAAGATATTATGTAAGATATCAAAAATAATAAAAATAATCAGTGTTGCTTACTTCCAATTTAAAATAATGAAACATAGACATTCCTATTCTAAAAAAGAGGAATAGGGGTATAGAAAGAAATATAATGGAGAAAATGAGATAAAAACCATCTGGACAGTCACCAATACCTGTAGCTGTATGTCCAGAATCTTGAACTCATGATAAAAGAATCTGGATTCCAAAATCATTAAGGAGTCTTGGCCCTCTTACTCTGCCACTTATGCAAGTTAGCATCTCTTTCTTTTAAGCCAACTCTGTTCTGCACCTGAAATTTTTTGCAGGGGGGAGTAGTCCCATTGCCTTGGGCATTTCCAAAATCCTGTAGTTTCCATTGCAAATAAGGTTATGTACTTCTAAATTCACACAATGACCTCCCAGAGCCACCTGATCATGCCTGCAATATATTGCCTGGCTTTTGTGGATTTATAGAACCTAGATAAGAACTTTCAAGACTCTTACACTTTTACCAGCTATGGATTCTGGACTCCTGAACCAAAGCTTTAATAGCTTCTGTATGTCTTGGTTCCCAAATTGGAGACAAATCTTTCTTGGGTAATTCATTTTGTCCTGGGTAACACCTTCAGTAACATTCTTAGTTTAAGATTTCTCTTTTGAAATGGATTTGCATTTTACCATCAGTGGGCAGATTCTTGACTGAAGGACAACCATAATACTATATTACTATACAGAAGTAGGTTTCACTTCAATATTGTTAAGCCTTAACAATTACAACTATTTTTTGCACCAACTCCTCTACAACTTCAAATTGATGCTTTCCTTGTCAAGCTACACATTTTTCATATCTTCATGTGCTACTAGTTTCTTTCCCTTATTGTAGACTCAATAAAAGCAATGAATAGTTGTCTTGGCATGACCTGAATACATCAATGTAGAAATTTCTTCTGAAATACAAATTAGACCATTTCTTTGGAATGTAGTCCCACTCAGGTTTTCAGGACACTGGAAGAATTCAACCAGATTCTCTGCTTAAACTGTAATACAAATGACCTTAGACCTACTCACAGTAGAGTCCATATTCCCTGTTGAACTCTAATGAGGTTGTCTTCAATTGTTCATACTTTGCTGGACATGCTTATCTATCAAACTCACATTATAAACATTAGTAGAGTAAGCTTGAAGCACTCTGGTCCCTTGTCCACATAATCTAACTCTTTCACATTCCTCCAGAAATGCAGTTCAACATGCCTGTGAACTACACAGTTTTATCATAATAAAATATCTACTGCTCTGTAACAATTTCTGGTGTTATTTTTGTTATTGTGCTGTTATTACCAGATATATGACAAGAAACAACTTAATATGAAAGCTTCATTTCAACTTATAGTTTAGAAGACTACAGTCTATCATGAAGAATATGCCATGAAGGTAGGCTGTTTCATAGTGATAGGAATGTGCAGGTAGACTCCTCAATACACATCTTCTTGGAACATGAAGCATCTGCAAACAACAACAACAACGAAAAGAGTTAGACTGAAAAGCCTCAAAGCCTGCTATCAATGATCCAGCACTTCTAGCAAGATTCAAACTCCTACATATTCTACTATCTTCTAAACAGTATTCCATTATTTGTGAAAAAGTATTTAAATATATGAGCCTATGGAGATATTTCATATTTGAGCCATAATAGTATTGTACACACATTATCCACTCAATCTCAATACATGTTTGAAGGTATCAGAGGATGACTTGTGTTAGATGCTAGAGGTCTATCTGTGAGGATTAAACATGGAAAATTTAATAACAAAACACTGGATGTCTTAGTTAGGTTTCTGTAAAGAGAAATCATGACCATGGCAAATCTTATAAAGGTAAATAAATAATTGAGAATGGCTTACAGTTTTAGAGATCTAGAGATTTAAGCAATTATCATCACAGTGGGAAATAGGGCAACGTATAGCCAGACATAGTACTAGAGAAAGAGTTAAGAGTTCTACATTTTAGTATGCAGGCAGCAGAAGAACAGACTGTTTATCACATGGGGCATATCTTGAGCAAATGAGACCTGACAGCCCACACCCACAATGACACAGTTCCACCAATAAGGCTATGCCTATTCCAACAAGGCCATATCTAACTCCAAAAAGGCCATGACTCCAACAAAGCCATGCCTCCTAATAGTGTCACTCTATATGGGCCAAGCATTCAAGCATATGAGTCTATGGGAGCCATTCCTATTCAGACCACTACACTGGCTTTGGGCAATACAATTCAATGACAGATTAGACATCATTTTTAGTAGAGAATCTTATTTTAATTTTCAATAAATGTTGAATGAATGCATAAATGAATAAAATTTTAAAAAGTTCTTAATACTTACAAGAGTACCATAAAGAAAGTTATATTTATGTAAGTCTTAAGAAACAGGAAAATAATTCTGGGAGAAAAGGCTTAGGAAATTACTTTCTGACAGAAAGAATAATAATAGAACCAAAATTCCACATAGATAAAAATGAATGCTTATGAGGAGCATTTACTAGTTAGGTTTAGGAAAATAATGATATACACTGTTTTATTTATGTAGTTGTTTTTTGAATGGCTATTTACATTGAGATTATGAATAACAGAATTTCAGGGTACAATAAATTAGATTGATAGTACTCCAAAAGTAGTCAGGAAACACTGATGGCTTTTAGCAATAAGGTGGGTACTTGTTGGAGTTCTTTGATATGGAGGAGGAATACAAAACAGAAAGATTATGCTTCAATTTTATAAATATCTATTTTAAATATTTACTTCTATATGTTAGTGTGCCTGTGCATGTGCATGCAAATGTGCATGTGGGTGCCCGCAGAGACCAGATAATGACTTAAACCCCCTGGAGCTGGAGGCAATGCTGAGCCACACAAATATGGGTTCTAAGAAAAGAACTCCGGTCCTCCAAAAGAGTAACAAGTGCTCTTAACTGCTGACATTTCTCTCCACTCCCTAAATATTCTTGAACATTTGCGAAATGACAATTATTTCTCCACATGTAAAGCAAATTTCTACAAAAATAAAGATGAATTGGCTTCTACATTGATGGTGATTACCCAATAAAACTGTACTGAATACTCAAGACCATCTGTTCAGTAATTAAGTGACACTAACTTTATTACCTCATGCATTTTTGACAAGCTGCAATCTTATAACCAATTCCATGTTTCATAAAATTTGGTGAAGGTATGGCCAGGTATTTCATTTAACAGTCATCATGTATTTTATTCCCAATTTTGTAGAGTCAAGATATCACTTTTATTAATTTTATTTCAGTATTTTTGTGGACCTTCATTTTAAACCTTGGGTACCCCACATGCTATATGGCCATTCTCTTCATTGGGATACAACTTGTACAGAACAATAACAACAAAAAGCCTGTCAAGTAGTACAGAATCCAGAAAAGTTAAGCATACAGCTTATCTCATCAATGGAATGAGGTGTTTAGCTCTTTTTGGAATGCTGATAGGAAAATGTGTTTTACTACCTGATATCCCATTGCTACCTGCTGAAAAAGATGCCACTCATATATTCCAGAATTCCTATTTTATTTATCCCAGATGCTTTATCCTTAAAACCATGAGCATTACTTTTAGGCTATAAAACCTATCCTTGTAAGAGATGTCATTTGTACAATAGCCTAAGTGACTTCTATGTTATCTTAGGGCCAGGACAATTCTGACAAACACAGTCATTATCTCTACCTCAGTCATTCTCCCTAGACCCTAAATTTCAGGCAC